GGGGGGGGGGGGGGGCGGATTTGATAGCAGCCTTCAATTACCTGAAGGGGAGTTCCAAAGAGGATGGAGCTTGGCTGTTCTCAGTGGTGGCACATGACAGAACAAAAAGCAATGGTCTCAAGTTGCAGTGGGGAAGGTCTAGGTTGGATATTAGGAAACACTTTCACTAGGAGGGTGGTGAAGCACTGGAATGGGTTACCTAGGGAGGTGGTGGAATCTCCATCCTTAGAGGTTTTTAAGGCCTGGCTTGACAAAGCGCTGGCTGGGATGATTTAGTTGGGGTTGGTCCTTGTAGCAGGGTGGACACCCGCTCCTGCCCTGAGGGATTTGGAACAGCCCTGGAAGAAGGCTGGGGCAGGGAAGGCTGAGCTGATTTGGGGGAAGTTGCTGCAGATGGGGCCATGCCCCAAACAGACTCAGCTGGCCCTATAAAGGCAGGGAGCCAGGCGCTCAGACCGAGTCTCTCTCTGCATTCAGAGAGAGAAGGGCCTGGCTGCAGGGAGCACAGATGGAGTATTTGAGTGGAGCAGGGCTGGGGAAAGGCTGAGGAGCTGGGGCGCTCCAGCCTGGATAGCCCCAGGCTGCGGCCTAGTAGGAGGCCAAGGGGTACTGGGGGTTGCAGAGGGCAGCCCATGGGTAGGCCAAGGCAGCAGGTCCAAACCCAACCTTGCCTGTGATGAGTGGCCTATACTGCAGTCTGCCCCAGGGAGCGGGGGCTAATTGGTGACTGGCAGTGGCCTTATTGTGAGGTGAGGTAGTGATAGTGGGTGGGGGTTCCCTGGGGAGGGGAGACCCTAGTACTGAGGGGTGTACTGCCAGGGGGCAGCACCTCAGATAAAAGGGCACCGGGGTCTGGGAGGGACACGGAGGCCAGAGGACAGGCGGATCACTGGCCTGCAGAGGGCGCTCCAGGACGCTGGAAGAGCTGATTCCCCAGACGACCAGCAGGAGGCACCGCAAGGGTGAGTCCGCTCCTCTACAGTCCTGCTTTGAGCAGGGAGTTGGACTAGATGACCTCCTGAGGTCTCTTCTAACCCTAATATTCTATGAAGTCCATCACAGGCCTAAACTTAATTCTCAAGGCATTCTCCTGTCTCCTACTAGCTTACCCCAAGTTCTTTCTGTGTTTTCAACCAGTTTGGTTGAGACCCCTTCTCCTGCCCTGCCCCACTCCCTGCTGATAGCTTGTTCTCACAGAGTGAAGGATACCAGGGGCTAATCCACACCCTGATATAGTTTCAAAAGTTCCTTGTCTTACCCCTAAACAGGATAATGAGGAGAACCAAGGACTGGAGGTCACACAATGAAATGAATAGGCAGCAGATTTTATACAGACAAAATGCATAGTCAACCTGTGGAACTCTTTGCCAAGGGATGTTGTGAAGGCCAAAACTATAACAGGGTTCAAAAAAGTACTAGATACATTCATGGAGGATAGGTCCATCAATGGCTATTAACCAGGATGGGCAGGGACATAACCCCATGCTCTGAATGTCCCTAGCCTCTGTTTGCCAGAAGCTGGTTGTGGACAACAGAGGATGGATCATTTGATGATTGCCTGTTCTGTCCTTCCCTCTTAAGCACCTGGCATAGACCACTGTTGGAAGACAGGATACTAGGCTAGATGACCATTGGTCTGACCCAGTATGGTTGGTCTTATGTTCTTATAATTCCTGCTGTTTAATTCCTCCTGTTAATTTCCTCTCTTTGAAGATTTCACAATTCTTCATTAGCATTCAGCTCAGACTTCTGAGTGGATGCCCATTGTGAACCATACAGTACTTGATTGACGTGCAAACAGGCAGAGAGATCAACATTTCTTGCCTGAAAGAAAACCTGCTTTTCCCCTTTGCTGATGGCCAGTACCTAGACACAGACCTTAAGAACACAGACCACAGCAGATACACAACTCCTTAAATATCACCAGTCCATATAGCTTGCAATGATTAACTGCACTGGAATGACACAGGCTTTCATTAGACATCACATGACCTCTTTTGGTGAACCCAGAGGAGCCCTATACCCCTAGTGCCCTCTGCTAGTTGGCATCAAGAGGTCCTTGGGTCACAGTGGGGGGCAGAGGGGTGGGGCAGGGGCAGAGGGAGGGCCAGGTTGCTCGGTGGCTAGTCCAAGCAGGCTCAGGGCTCCCCCTCACACACCCAGTGGTGCTGCTCCGTGCATGGGACGTCATACCAGTGCCCATCCTGTCGTGCCAGCGCACAGTTCTCCGTCTGCCCACCATTGGGCTCCCCTGTCTGCCAATAGCTGGAAACCAAAACAGGGAGAACAAGGTAGAGCAGGGCTGGTAATGCTGCAGCCCCCCCGTGACCCCCACAGCCACCAGACCGTGCAGTCACAAGCCCCTGTGACTCCCAGTCCCCATGTTCCCTGCAGCCCCTGTTGCAGGGGCTGGTGGCTGCCATGAGGCAAGCCCCAGTCCCCATGATGCCTGTGGCCCCCTTCAATCCCCATGACCGCCTGTGGCCTCCTGCGACCGCCTACTCTGCCCAATGACCCCCACAGTGCTGGGGGCCACAAGTGTCACAGAGACTGGGGCTTGTGGGGACTGGGGCTTGCAGGGACTGGTGGCTGGAGCAGGAGCGGGCAGAACTGAGAAGGGAACTTGTGCTGGATTAAGCCCAGGTCACAGAGACAATCCCCATCTCACTTCTCCCCCAGAGCATCTCTCTGCATAGTCAGATGGGGGTGTCAGAACTCCCCATGGCCTTGGCTCCTCCCCCACAAACATTGTCCCATACGACTAGGTTCCTGGAAGTTGCTTCCTCACATCCCACCCCAGGGACCAGAGGGACAATCGGGGGTAGGGGGTGTCAGTTCCCAAAGTGGGACAGCAGGGAAGTGGGAGATACTGGGATCAACTACACCGGGCAAGTTAAAGCCTGGAGACGAGGAGGGAGGAGCAAGGGCGCAGCGCGCTCGGCGGAACTGGATGGGGAAAAGGCGGGGCCGGGGTGGGAAGAGGCAGGGTGGGGTGGAGTGGGGATGGGGCCTGGGCAGAGCTGGGGGGAGCACCCCTTGGCAGATAGAAACTCGGCACCTATGTCCCGGGCCCTGCATCCACCCTAGGGACGGCCCTGGGGAGAACCCAGGTCTGGAACAGCATGTCAGGATTGAGGGACATTTTCCCCACTCTATGGCTCCAGCTATTCTGGGTTATTTCAGGGCCTCTCAGCCCAGACCCAGTCTCCAGTACCTGGCATTGGCTGCTGAGTGAGTCCCGTCCACCCACATCCAAGCCCCCTCGAGTGCCTGGTCCGTGAGGCCCATCCAGGAGGATGGTGCTTTCATGGAAGCCACGATGTGAGCCTGAGGTCAGAGAGAATAGAGTTACTCTGGGGTTGGCGCCCAATCCTCCAGTCACCCCCGCAGGACAGGGACTGCTGGACATGGACAGGCCCCGGTGCTGCCAGCGGGGTTTCAGCAGGGATAAATGGTGAAGCAGGGGCTCAATATGACATGGTGCCAGGGTTACGCTGGCCCCCAGGAGCCCTGAGCTGGGAGGGACTTGCTGAGTGCAGTGTCTGCTGCTACGCATGGCATCTCTCTCCTTGACTCATGGCAGCCCCACAATCCTCCCCACAGTGCAAGCGCCTTCCCCTCTGCAGCTTCTGCAGCCCAATGAGGTGAACTGGAGAGGGGCCGAGGGAGGGAGCACAGCAAGGGGGGGGGGATGGGCTGTGTGATGCTGGCAGACCAGGTGCCAGCTCTTGCCGAGGCTGCAGGCATCAGCTGAGCCCTGCCAAATACATAGCTGGAAACCAGACCAGCTCACCTGTATGTCAGTCTTGTTCAAGACCGCTGTTGGACTTGTAAAGCTGTGTTTAGACTCTATGGAATGCTTGTAAGTTGCTGCATGCCTTAATTTCACTTGTACTGTTTGTATCCCATGCTATAAGAGGATTTGTAAGTTTTACTTAATAATTGTAAAAGTGCCTGCTCTGAACTTATGAACCCAGTCAGGCAGAATGGTTCCCTGCCCATTGAGAAGGACTGTCAAAATGAAATGGGCCATTGTGGAACATCATGATCCAAAGAGCTGGCCCTCTCACACCCATGAAGGTGCTACGTGTAAGAAAGCCCATCCCATCAGCTTGAATGCTGGAAGAGGGGAATAAAACAGGGACACAAGGAATGTTTTTCATCTTTGCTGTTTGGACTCTCATAGGGCTGGAGCTAGGAAAAAGGAGCAGAGATCCCCAAGTCAAGCTGGGTTGGCCCTAAAAGACATTCAGTGGACAGATGACTACAGTTCTGCCACCTTTTGGAACCATAGACTAACTCATTTGTGTCTACATGTTACCTGCTTTAACCTGTAAATCTCTCTCATTTCCTTTTCCTAGTTAATAAATCCTTAGTTTACAATTGGATTGGCTACAAGCATTGTCTTTGGTGTGAGATCTGAGGTACAAATTGACCGGGGGTAAGTGACTGGTCTCTTGGGACTGGAAGCAACCTGTATCTTTTGTGACCTTTGGTGTATGGCAACCAGCTATCACTAGCCCAGCTCACCTGGCTGGCAATATAGACTGGAGCCCCAGGGGACTGTCTGTGGCAAGACTGGTGTAGTGCTTCAGGAGTTCACATTTGTTACCTGGTTGGTGATACCTAATTATAGAATGTACAGCTGGTTTGGGGGGGGGTGTGCCCTGCATAGACAGTCTGCCCTGAGCTTGGCACTCATGGTTGTGAGCCACTCCAGACAGTGTGACAGGAGGGGACCCGGTGAGGAGGAAGGGCTGTTGTACCGGTGGGGGCAGGGACCATTGCAGCCAGTTGTTTCTCTGATCCGTTTCACTGATTGGCTGGCAATTTGGTCTCACACCTTGGCTGGGTCTCCAGTGAGAATGAGGGGATTCAGAGGGCTCGCCTCCCCTGCCCAGTCTGGCTCTCTTCCCTTCTGGCCCCTCTAATTATTGCCTCCAACCCAGGCTCCCCTCCCTGTTGCTGAGTCACTTTTCAGGCGGCACTCATCCTGGATCCCTTCCCCAGCTCCTCCCATCTGCCTTCCTCCCTCCCATGCTTCCCCCTCCACCCCAGTGCCCCCTAGCCTCCAGGACACCCTGCTGCCCCACACATGGTCATCTCTCACCTGCTCAGCAAGGCTGGTCACCTGGAGGAGCAGGGCACCTAGAGAGGCACAGGAGTGGTTGGCAGCATCCCAGGTGCCCTGGGAGCGGGAGTGGAAGTAGCATCTGTCCTGGAAGAAAGTCCACCCCCTGCGACATGGGGTGCAGACTGGGGGGGAAGGGGAGGAGAGACCATGTTAGTCATCGGGGGGGGGGCAGGGGAATATCTAGGCAGCCTCAGGATCTAGGGCAGTCTGCAGAGACTAGCAGGGAAGCCCAGCAGTTAGAGGACTGGGAGCTTGTGTTCTTGGGTCTGCCTCTCCTGCCTCCTCCCTGGTGCTCGCCAGCAGGTCTCTGCTCCTCTTGGCACCTGAGGCTAGAGCAAAGACCCTGCACACCTTAATGTGGCGATGCAGCCTAAAGAGACTAGAGGTCCCAGCATGCACCGCTCTCTGCCCCCATCCTCTTGGGTTAAGATGGAGCCACACACGCTGGTACAGTCACAGAAGGCTGCAGCACCCCCAGCTCAGTGTTTCATGCCAACCAGATGCAGCCCCCAGACCTAAGGCAAGTCACTGGAATGGCCTTCATTAGCTCTGGGTCCCATTAGCCCTGTGCCAATACCCAGGGGAGACACCTATGCTCTGGATACAGACCCCCTCCTCCACACACCACCCAGTGCTGCCCCAGGGAGTTAACCCCATCCTGGCCCAAGAATTCATACACCCCAATGGGCTGAGCCACAGAAGGAAGCAGGATAGCGGGCAAATTTGCCACAGGGGCCAGTGGCAGGGCCAACACGTGTGGAGATCCTGTAGGCTGCTCAGCCAGTGTGCAGCCACACGAATAATCACAGCAGAGGGCTGGGAAATAGAGGGTAAGCAGCATGTGGGACGGGATGGGGCAGGGGTTTGGGCTGTCCCTGTATCTGCTCCCTGTGCTGCATTTGACCCAAGTGGGTGGCCTGTTGCTTGGTGGCTCAGCTAGCACAACCTGCAGTCATCAGGATGGTAATGGGCACCAGGACAGAGCCCTGTGAGGGTGAACAAATTAAGGGCAATGTGGAAGGGTTGGCTTCAGCCACTGAACTCCATGGAAAGGCTCCCACAGACTTCAGCACAGCCAGACCAGGCCTTACATGGCCTTAGATTTCAGAGTCATCTCCCCACTGAGATGCTGCAGGGGCAGCTCCCTGCCTCTCAGAGCCAACATCTCAGGCTCTCTGCAGACTCAGGCAGATATCTGTAACATCTGGGTCACATTTACAATGGAGCACAGCTCTGTAGGGAGGATCCACAGCCTGCAACTACTGGACATGAAGGCCCTGCCCATGGGACAGGAGCTCCTGAGACAAGGCAGCCATTAATGGTCCTTGTCCTCATTTTCAGCAAAAGGAGTCCCAGAACCCTGTGGGGTGGGATGATCCCAGATGGGACTCTTGGGTTCTATTCCCAGCTTTGGGATGGGAGTGGGGGGTCTGGTGGTTAGAATGTGGGTGGGGCAGGTTCATAGCTGCTGGAACTAGGAATGCTGGGGGGGTATGGCCGCACCCCCTGGCTTGAAGTGGTGTCCATTATATATAGGGCTTACAGTTTGGGTCAATGGCTGTCAGCACTCCCACTATACAAATTGTTCTAGCACTGCTGGGCAGGTTCCATCAGGTACATGGGCAGCGCCGTCACGGCTTGGAGCTAGGGCAGGGAGGGACACTGGCTGGCGTGTTTGAGGTGAAGGCCACAGGGCCAGGTGGGTCCGGCAGAACTCACCATGATAGGAGCAGAAGCAGAGGTCCTCATGGCTCCCATAGACGACCCAACGGCTCCAGGGCCCGTCCCCTGTGTACAGCATCACCACGTGGTTCTGGCTGTTGCCATAGTTGAAGTAGAGGTTCTCCTTGGCGAGGGCCAGCAGCCCGTTTGCCCGGCACTCCCAGTGCTGCAGCTCCCTGTGGGCCTTGCAGGGCTCCAGGCGCACAGCCATCCGGCTAAGCTGCTTTGGCACAGCTACGCACTGCTGGTGGGCCACGCTCAGCAGCTGGCCCCGAGACAGCCACTGGAAGTGCTGGCTGGGGGAGCCAGGGGTGCAGGGCGCGGCTGTCAGGGAGCCACCAGCTGTCACATCCACACACAGCTGGTGTGACTCACTGTAGATCAGGAAGGAGCCAGAGGCTGGAGAGCCTGAGTGGACAGAGGGGGTAAGTGCTGGGGCCAGGGCCGGTGCAAGGAAGTTTCGCACCCTAGGCGAAACGTCCACCTTGCGCCCTGCCCCAGCCCTGCGGCAGCTCCCCGCCTCCGCCCTGAGGCGCCCCCCCCTGCCCTGAGGCGTCCACCCCTGTGGCAGCTCCCCACCCCAGCTCACCTCTGCTCTGCCTCCTCCCCGAGCACGCCACCCCCGCTCTATTCTCCTCCCCTCCCAGGCTTGCGGCCCCAAACAGCTGATTGGTGCCACAAGCCTGGGAGGCGGGAGAAGTGGAGCGGCCGCTGCGCTGGGAGAGGGAGTCTGAGCCCCACATGTCAGCACGCCGTTGGCAGCCCAGCCCAGGAACGCTGTAAAAAAAAAAATTGGGGGCACCGCTTTTTGGCACCCCCAAATCTTGGCGCCCTAGGCAACCGCCTAGTTTGCCTTAATGGTAGCACCGGCCCTGGCTGGGGCAGGGGCACCACAAGCAATGGGAGCCTGGCTGCGAGGACAGGGCCCAGTCCCAAACCAACTCTCGAATTGCTGAAGACTGGATACCTCTGCCCCGCCTCTTTCCCCCAGGCCTTGTCTCCTGCTCTGCCTCCTCTCTCCCTCCAGTTGCGTGCTCCCCCCTCCCCTAGGACTTACCTGCCGCCTGCAGAGCTGGGCTGGGAGGAGCTGCCGCAGAGCCTGCCCAATCTGGGCACAGCAGTTGGGCTCTGGCTCAGAAAAAGTCAGTCCCTGGAGCGAGGGGCCAGGGGCAATCGTGGAAGAGCAGGGTGGGGGTGTGTGTGTGTGTGTGTGTGCTGGTCCCCAAAGCAAGGGGCTGGGGGGCAATTAGGGTACAGCAGGGTGGAGAGGGGGTGTCGGTCCCTGGAGCGAGGGGTTGAAGCAGAAGAAATAGGGGCACGGTGGGTTGGACTGTCCCCAGAGCCAGAGGCTGGAGCCGAGGATCTGGGAGCCAGTTCTCTCTGTCAGCAGCTGCTGTTCTTCCTGCCCTCTCAGCGGGGAGGCGGATTGTGGTTACTCTGGTAAGCAGAGTTTTAGCATCTGGTCGCAGTACTGACTGGACACTGACAGGTCCCCTTTTTGACCGGACACCTGACAACCCTACCCAGCAAAAGGAGTGAGGGGGGGAGGAAGGGCCAGTCCACTTGACTCCAGAGCCCCAAAGTTTCAGGAAGGGTTGGGAGGCAGGGGCCACCGGGAGTGCAGCGGGTGGAGCCAGCAGGGCACAGACGTGACCAAAGGTCTGGGATTTGCCACCACAGAAACTCACCCACATCCTGGAGCTGCTGGTTCTCCTCTTGCATTCTCTCAAGGGTGCTGGCCATCTCCATGTCTGCAGGAGATGGGAAACATCACCAGTGGTCTCGGCCATGTCACAGCAGCTGTGTTGAGAAACACCGGGGAGACAGGAGCCACCAGGCACCAGATCACCTTATCTCTGCCCTTGCCCTGGGCACACCGCCCCGCAGTCTTTGCAGTGCCCATAGCCATTGTCTACTGGGAGCAGGCTGGACCTTCTGACTGTCCTTAGCTCACCCGCAAGGGCAGGGCCAGCTCATAACAGTCTTGTCTCCCCCCCCCCCCCGAGCCTGTGACACAGTCCCTCCTGGCTGTCTGTAACACTCACTCTGCAGCAACCAGGAAAGCTCCCTCTAGCCCCATCCTGGAGGGGTGAGGGGTCTAGTCAGCTGAGACACAGGCCATTCTCAGCCTGGCCAGCCTTGGGGCCGAGCCTGGTGGGAAGCAGCACTATACCCGGGCAGGGGGAGGGGGAAGATAGTACTTCCTTTGTATTCCAGTGCTTTGGAGCCCATCATGGCCCAGGACCCCACTGTGCTGGGCACTGGGCATTATTTATTAGGTGTATTATGGTGTCCCAGGCTCTAGCCCAGGACCCCATGGTGCTAGGCGCTGTACAAACCTAGAGCAGACAGATGGTCCCTGTTGCACAGAGTTCACAATCTGTATAAGACAAGGTCAAGAGATGGGGACAGAGGCATAGGTGGGGAGGTACAAGGAAATAGTGGGATGATATTGGTCAGCCCAACAGGCTGTGGGCTCAGCGCATCATGCTTTCTGTAGGCATTGCAGTTGTCATGCTTTCTGTAGGCATTGCAGCAGAGGAGCGTTCTGCAGAGGGATGCAAAGGAGGATAATGCAGTGGCTTTGTGGGTGTTTATGGGGGACATCCTCCCAGCATTGGGGGGCAGCAAAGGAGAGAGCATGGAGGACCTTGTTTGCCAGTGTACCAAGCAGGTGCTAGAAGCTGCGTCCTGGGCAATCAGGGGCAGAGAGGCCCTCTTAACAGAGGATGGGAGACGTCCATGCAAATGCGAGTGAAGGGAGGGAGGTACTTACATCGGACAACACCAAGTGTGAGGAGCAGCAGGTTCAGCAGCACAGAGACTCCCAGGACAGTCGCGCAGGCCAAAATCCACCGCTGGCCCCGTCTCCACTCCCACTCTAGGGGGTTGGGAAATCAACATGGAAACAGCACATTGCCCTGACAGCCAGAGTATCCATCAGAGGGCACAGCCCTCTCCAGCAATGAATCCCCCACTCCTGGGAGCACAATCTTCACTCTATGGATGGGAAACTGAGGCACAGAGTGGCAAACAGATGGACCACGTGGCAAGCACATGGCAGAAGTCCTGACTCCCAGCTCCCCTGCTCCCATTTCTAGCCACGCTAACCACTGGACCCCACTTCCCTCCCAGAGCAGGGGATGGAATCCCAGTAGTCCTGACTGCCAGCCCCGCCCCCACCCACTAGATCACAGTCTCCTCCCAGAGCCAGGAACAGAACCCAGCACATCTGACTCTCCTGCCAGCCAGTCCCAAACCCATTACCTGGAGCCCGAGCCTCCTGCTGCTCCATCTGCCTCCTCCTTGCACCAAGAGCTGGGTCAACAGCCTCATATTCGTTCTCCTCTTCAGTGTACGCATCGCTGACAGCTAGAGAGGGAAGTACAGGGTGACAGCTCTCCCACCAGCTCCATCAGCACCGACAGCCCCCCCGTGGCTCTGTCAATGTCCCCAGCACCACACTGGGCAAGCACAGACGGCAAGGGGACAGAGCGCCCTACTGAACCCCACCCTCTTCCTGCAGCACAGCACCCTCTAGCACTGCATAAGGGAAAGCACCCCCTTTTGAGTGCTGTCCCACTCCCTGCAGCACGCTAGGTGTTCCTGTGAGGGCTCCTTACAGGTACTGGCCAGGCCCAATGCTCCTTCATCAGAGACAGAGGGCCGGCTGCTCCATACCTGCCTTCTCCCTTGGCTCAGAACCCCACGGCTCCTCTTGTCCTGGTTCAATGATGTTGACGTTGCTGTATGTTGCCTTGCAGGCCATGGGGCCAGACTGTGCAGCTGGGAGTCCCGTGCGGTCACAGCCCTGCCAACTGACTGGGCTGCTCACATGTGTTTGCCAGCTGATAAGGCCTCCAGGAGGGAGGGAGAAAAGCAGCAGGGGACCTGAAGAGGCAGTCCTTTGATGGGAACGCTGCAGAGCTCAGGCACTCCTCCCAGCTGGGGCTGGAGGGCCAGTCTGTGCCGCCTGTGCCTGCTCCTAGATTCATAGAGTCCAAGGCCAGAGGAACCACTGATCATCTGACCTCCTGTATAACACAAGCCAAGAACAGCCCCCAAATAATCCCTAGAGCAGAGCTTTTAGAAAAACATCCAGACTTGATTTAAAACTTGTCAGTGATGGAGAATCCACCCTCACCCTTGGTAAATTGTTCTGATGGTTAATTACCCTCACTGTCAAAAAGTGTACCCCTTATTTCCAGTCTGAATTTGTGTAGCTTCAACTTCCAGCCATTGGATGCCTTTCTTTCATAAAGTCTAAGACTGGAAGGGACCTCGAGAGGTCATCGAGTCCAGTCCCCTGCTCTCATGGCAGGACCAAATACTGTCTAGACCAGGGGTCGGCAACATTTGGCACGCAGCTCGCCAGGGTAAGCACCCTGGCGGGCCGGGCCAGTTTATTTACCTGCTGACGCGGCAGGTTTGGCCGATCGCGGCCCCCACTGGCCGCGGTTCGCCATCCCAGGCCAATGGGGGTGGCGAGAAGCGGCGCGGGCGAGGGATGTGCTGGCCGCGGCTTCCTGCCGCCCCCATTGGCCTGGGACAGTGAACCGCGGTCAGTGGGAGCCGCAATCGGCCGAACTTGCCGTGTCAGCAGGTAAATAAACTGGCCCGGCCC